CCTAGCATGTGATGGGGTGTTATAATGCAACATAGGAGTAGAACCATTCTAAAACAGTGTCCTGACCCCCAGTTCTTTCAGACAGTCCTAAAGGATATCCTGATCAACTGTACTGTGCTCTAACAAGAGATCTAATAGGATCAAAAGGGTGTTTTCCCTTCTATCTGTGTCTTGAGAAACAATATACACCAGAGTGTATGGTGCTATGTCTTTTCCATAACTAGGCCTGAATGCAGTTGAAAAGAACCTAGATAATTAATTTTGTCTAGGATCCATGGGAGTTGATTTCCCACCATAAACAAGTTGTAAACATGCATTCAAAAGAATATATAATTTCACTGAATTCTTTTTAATGGTGAATTTTGAAATAACATGCTAAAATTACAGAAAATAATTGTTAGTGAACTTACTCGTTTGGAATTTAATATAGTAAAATCTGCTTGAATTAGAAATTCATTCTGAAATCTTTTAAATTGAACTTGCTACAGGCAACTGAACTGAGTTGTTTAGGTCCATTGCTTTGGCTGTTTTTTCATTAGGAAAAAAGTGTATTATGGCATATCAATGCAAAAATTGCCATGATTGACCTTGTAGAAATATAAAGGTAGGAAGGAATGTTAAATATTTTTACATTACAGGACAAAAACTGATGAAAGTTTTCAATGAATAATAGCATATTGTTTTTTCCAGATTGTTAAACAGGGTCTTAAAGCTAATGCTCTACTGGACCGAGGCATGCAGCTTACAGGATCAACTTCTAAGTGAGTAACAAGTTATGGTTCATTTGTGATTTGTTGAAAGTTAGATTCTTGTTTTCATATACAGTATGTAGGATTATAAAGGTGGTGGTGTCTAAAGTGTTATAAGAATATGTATAAGTAACACTCCCCTTCAGCAGGGCTGAATATTTGCATCCTTCTCATATGACTACCATCATTCCTGTCAGAAGACAGTTGAGATGCTGTTCATATTTATTTGCATTGTGAGTTTTCACACTGCAGAAGGAGCTTGTAAGTTGCTGAGTGTCTATGTGGAAAGGAATCCAAAAGTAAGCTGATTTTGTTTTGTTTTTTAGACTTTTCCAGCTACCCTGTACAAATTTCAGACTCACTTGATATTTATTAGACTAGCTTTTTTGAAAAGTTTGAAAAGTAAGCTTCTTAAGTTTTTAAAAGAAAGTTTAATGAATTTATAGAATGTCTGTCTAAAAGAGGCTTATGATGTAGTACATATTTGATATGAAGCAATGTATAACAAGCCATAGCTTGCCAGAGATTGCACAGACATGATGAGGAAGTAATTATGAACTCTGTCTTGCATTTCCTGTGTCTCTCAAATAGTTTTTGTTCTGTGTTTAAGAAAAACTCCTTGCTCTTTATTTTTATATATATATATATATATTGCATGTATAAAACTGATGAATTGCTGTCTAATCATGTAAATGTGATCCATATGTCATTTGGAAATATTTATATTTGTTGACTTAGAGTTCTTCCTTATGTACAGTTTGTCTATGATGATGAACCAAGATGTATTTTTAGAAAGAGTGAAATTTATTTGATGCCAGAGATTTTTATCATTTAAAACATTGTAATACTTGAACCTTAATTTTCATAATACATGAAATAATATAGCTTATCATCTGCTTACACCAAACCTGCTGATGATGTTGAAATTTTTCCTTAGTTTCCTTTAAAACTTAATATTTGCATATTCTCTTTAGGGGTCCAGCATGGATTAGAATTTCCCTCTAGAATTATGAAAGTTGGCATAAGAATACCACTAGAGGATGTGCCCTGTGAATATAGTATTAGATTATTTATCATCTGATAATTATTTATCATCTGATAACTATATCTCATTTTAATGCTCTAAATTGGTAGGATACATTTTATGTTTTTAAAAAAAATTAAAATACAGATAGAAAAATGCATTTAAAGTTAGTTCAAACCAATAACATGAGAAAGCACTTAAAAGATCCAGGGCTGAGTTCTGTTGTCTAAGGGATTCTTACTTGTGTCATTACTTTGTCTATGTGTGAACGCTTATTACTTTTTAAATTAGTAAGCTTACTCTTCCCTCGTTTACTGCACTTATCATAAATAGGTAATTTTATCCTGAAAAGATGCTTAGGTAAGTAACATTTTCCAATGAATTCTATTGTGGCAAGTAATCAGCAAAAAAATAAATGTAGCTCCTCTCTAAAAATTAACATTTTGTTCTCCATTTGTTTGCTTAGTACTCCATATACTCCATTGGAAAAGAAAATCCTTGATCACACAGACGATGAAACAATAACAGAAGAATGGACTCTTGATCATCCCATTTCTCAGACCAGAACAACAGCTATTGTTGAAGTAAAAGGAACTGTGGATGTAGTTCTTAGTCCTCTTGTAGCAGAAGCTTTAGACAGGTATTTCTTAGTTTGAAGAGCTATATGCATAAAATATGGCTGTCACATTTCTTCTTGGCCTGACAAGGTACAAATGTACCATGCATGACATTGTCTGAAATAGATGAGGATAAAGAAGAGTCTTTTCAGTATTTTTTTGTACAGCCTTACATATTACATCTTCTTATCTGTTTTATCAAGACTAGATTCAGTTCTTCTCCTTGCCATAAAATATAAGCCAGTCTGGTACTGGGGAGGCATAGGTTCCAGTAAGCCATGGAAATTTACTAGGTGACTTTGGGGTCAGCCAGCCTTTCTTGGCCCAACCTACCTCACCAATTTGCTATTATAAGGGTAAAATGAAGTGTGATCCCAATCTAAACTTTCTTGAGCTCCTGTCTTAAAAATACTAGTATTTATAGGCCAGACAATACCATTATTAAGGTTATACTTCGACTTTCTACAAAGAGGTTATTCTAGATGGTTACTAGGAAAAACAAGCTGCTGTGAAAAAATCATTTATTTATTTTTCCATTTATAACGTCTAAAATTCCCATCATTTTCTTCCCTGAAAGCAATAACAATGTAAGATAAGTTGAGCTAAGAGAAAGTGACTAGCCCAAAAACATCTAGTTAGCTCCTTAGTCAAATATAAACATGCTGTTTTCTGGCCAGGTAGGCATTCAAAATCTAAAAACCAGTTCTGCTTAGAAAATATCAGTTGTATGGTAGCCAAGTTGTGGTACACACCAATAAATGCCAGATTCATTTGATTTGGTCTTGACACAGGACCTCCATACAATCTTTTTTAATACCCTAGGATTGGCTAAGGTAGGAGAAATGAAAGAACACAAAGAGTAAAATTTGATTAACAAAAGAGTTGGCATTTTGGGTCATACCAGCTCATTGGTTGATATAATTCTGTTTTTACAAATTAACTTTTTAATTTTTTAAAAATGTTTTTCATATGAGCCACCCAGATCATTGGGAGTCAGGCATCACAGATATTTAATAATAAATAATAAATAAAATAAATAAAATCATTGGGCTTTCCCTATATTGACAGATCATGAGACTTCTGCTAAGTGCTTGTGAGGAAAGCTTAATACTTGTGCAAATGTAATCATTGAACAAAATAAAATTTCTGGATGTATTTATTGTAAATATCTTTAGAGAAAAATTTAGACACAGTTTATTTGGATTTTTTTTTTCTCATGACTTTTATTTTATGAAAAGATAAGTAGATAAATTGTGCTTGAAGCCTACTTTCACCATATACTTTGGACTAACTTTTCCTGTAGGTATATAGAAGCAATGGTACACTGTGCTAGCACACGTCATGCAGCAGCCATTGTGGATGATTTGCATTGTAAGGTTCTCAGAGAAGCTGTCCAGAATAGAAAAACAACTTTTTCAGAAAATGTATGTATATTTATATAATTAATATTCTTCTTATGACAAAGTTTTATTACCTGTGTACAGCCCCCCTCCAAATGTGCTTCAGCATTTTTTTTTTATTTGGCAAGTTAAACAACAGAATAATTATATTGTATATCTAGTCCTCAAAGGTTATAGATGAGGAGGATAGTAAAGCTTTGCTTCAGAAGATGGGTGGAAAAAAAAGATTATACTTGGTCCATTCATTTTTACAAAATATCTATTTGCTATAGCACATAGGTAAAGAAAAATATTTTTCAGTTATATTTTTGGACTTTAGTTCCTGTCTTTGAATTCTTTGATTGAAAATTCAGTTCTCATCATTCTCACTTCTACTAATCAAAACAGTAAAATATAACTGACAAAATGGAGAGAGAGAAAGAGCAAAAATAACATGCACATTCCAGAAAGAAGAAGGGATGGAACAATATGAAAAGAAACAGAAGATGTATGGAATTACATTTAAAATAGTATACTGTCTAAAAGCCCTTGATCCCCCCAAAAGCTGAACATCTCTCCTTTAAATCTTAATTGCAACTGGTCTACTGTTCTTTTGTTTTAAAGCTATCTTCTAAACAGGATGTGAGAGGAACAAAAATAGAAACCCCGGCTACTGGAACAACTCAAGTAAAGACACAGGCCAGTGTTTCTCTCAAACAAGATAATGTGACTATTAAAGGCCTACAAGCCAATGTTACAGTACCTAAGGTAATTAACAGTTTGACTGACTATTCTTGAAAGATTTATTACTCAGTCTCTTGGTGTTATGCTTTTGTTGTGCCTATAGCACTAAGTAGAGCTTAGCAAGAAATGTCTTGAATATAAACAGGTTGGAAGGACCAAAATATCATTTTCTGTAGATTTTGGGTGGGTGAAGGATCCAGGTTTCTGACATCCTCACTATTTAAAAAGATGGCCACTTTTTAGTCTAGATGCTAAGAAAAGAACACTAATATATAGAAGAAAAGCATAGGCATGAAATTGACTGAAGCCATGGATCATGGCCGCTGTAATTGTAGTATCTATGCCAATCTCAAAACTGGCCAAACACCCAAGAAGATCCTTATAAGTCATCTAGTGGGAAGATGGAAGTCAACCTTGGTACAGATTCCTTCACTGTCTACCAAACATTCATGGTGAAATACAGCATAATTAGTTGGAACAACAACTAAGGACTTTGCTAGTTGCAAATATGGGTAAAATTTCTTCCCAGGGCTGTGAGCATTTACCCAGATTTTATTTAAAATATTTTTAGGGGGAAGACTTTTGTCCAAATACCATTTGTGCTTATCTCCCAATAATATACCAATCTCCCACAATATACCAATCGTGCTTATCATAATTCACTGGCAAAACGTAAAACATTAATGTTGGTAATGTCTGTTTAGATAAAATGGTGTTCACATTATCATGACTTTTTAAAAAACATTTCTTGAGTAGACTAAAAATACTGATGTACATGCCTCTTCTTAAATAATCTGTGGGATAATTTTTCTAGGTAAATTTATGCTTACTGCAAGCATCAATAGAAGAATCATCAGGCACAGGCACAGCCAAAAATGTAACTAATGTTTCTTTAGTGGCTTTGTGCTTTGACAGGATTGCTACACAGGTCCGTATGAACAGGTAAGGCAGTGTTTTTTAATAAGTCATACCATGGTTACATTTTTAATAGGAGATTTAACATTCTGACAGAGCCATTGCTTGATAGCTTCAGGACTATTCTTTATCCCCATGGGGTCCTCATAGCCCAGATTTGGTCCATGTAACAGAGTTTTTCAACCCCTTTGTTAAATGATATGGGACAGATCTAATGTAAACGAGTAACAATTTCCTTTCAGTTATGCATATGTATTAGTAAAAATATTTTTATTATTGAACAAAATGTATTTAATTTAAATTATTGATAGAAGAAACTGCATTTTCTGAGATGTCTCAAATATTTCTTTTTTTTATTAAAAGAGGCGTGGTTGAAGAGAATACAAACAGTGCAGAAACTAGGAGAGGTTCTGTAACTTTTGACAAGTATGTCCATTCCAATAAAATGCAGCCACAGTCCTCTGGCTCTCTACGATCAAATGCTGGAGCAGAAAAAGGAAAAGAAATTGCAGCTAAACTTAATATTCATCGTATTCATGGGCAACTCAGAGGCCTAGATACTTCAGGTAAGCCTTTTTGGCAGTGTTTCACTAAAAAAATCTTATTAGGGATAGAATATATTGCAAAGTTTCCTAATGCAAAGTTTCCTAATGACTGGAGGTGAGATTGGTCCCCTCACTCGTGCTTGTGAGGAAAGCTTAATACTTGTGCAAATGTAATCATTGAAC